CTGAAGGGTCTAGGCCCGAAACGTCAGCCTCTCTGCTCCTGTGATGCTGCTTGGCCTGCTGTGTTCGTCCAGCCCTGCACCTTGTTGTCACAGTGAACCATAAGTTGATTTGATGCACGTTCTAAGCACTCTTCCAAAGGTAGTAATTGAATAACGATCAGGATTACAAATCTGTTTTTTTCCTGCTACACACAAAACGGCTGTGGTTATTTTTGTTGTCTTTTGTAGTCACTTTAGTCTATCCCAGGCTAAAAATCCGTTTTGACATCATCTTTTCTTGTATGGCTGAAATATCTATGCTGTCAAGGGGATTACATTGTCCTGCCAAACAGCATGCCACACACCAAATTCAGAGGTCAGGGTTTTTCTGATGTTAGATCTTCCTACTCTGCCACCTGAAAAGTTAGTGGTCCCAACAACATCTAGGGATCACCAATTCCACCAATTATGTGAGAAGTCTAGCCCCAGTTGGAGCTAACCACTTGCCAGGTTCACAGTAGCATTTCAGATTTGATACAGATCTCACATTTCTGCTGGCAACAAAAATTGGTGTGGTTATTAATTATTTATTAATACACACAATTGTTTTTGGAGGAAAAATACTTCACCAATGCCATCACTTAAGAAATCATCATTCTTGCTGTAGTCAGGACAATGGAACAATGTATTCAGGAATCTTCCTCCACAAGGTTGAAGCTCTGAGCCAGTGCAAATAAGCTGAGACCATTTAGAATTCGGTAGCGCCTGGCTTCAGATTTTTAACACCAGCTTTGCATTTTTCCTGCTGATGCTCACTGTGTACCCATATTCAGTGTTTAAAGTAATATCATTAGATTGCAACCTGTGGGGATTTTGATTATTTTCTATACATGCAGGTACTAAATCAAATTATTTAGCAAGTTACTACTTCTAGTTAACCACTACTGATATAGTAATTCTTTCAAATGTTGTGAATGATACATAAATCAGAACTTACTTCCTAACTGCATGCAAAAAAAACTTTGACTTGTTCAGCTTGGCATACAGTAATGGTGTGGAATTTAGTTCACATGCAGTGAAAGTAGATAGACTTTGTTACTTAATGCGTGGTCATGAGTCAGTGCTGAATAGTTAGAGTTTCAGTGTAGTGTTTGAAAGATCATTCAGATTGATCTTTCTTTTTGCCATCTCTGTCCTCCTGTACAAAATTAACTAGATAAGTGCACAACTAAGTTTCTTTCAAAATTGGAATAAAAATACAGAGCAAAGAAGTCTATGGCTTCATCAAGAAAGAACAGAATAATATAATGGAGCTAATATTGTGAAATACTGAGCACACCATTATAGCAATCTAATGGTGGAAAAGCTGCAGATTTAAATCTTAATGCTTATATTGCAAAGGAGGCCATTTGGCCCATTGCATCTGTACTGATTCACTGAAGGGCCCATGAACCAATTATCATTCCACACCTTCTCTGTTGTCGTGTCAATTCTTCTTTTACAGATGATAATCCTGTTTCTTCTTGAATGCCTTGACTGAATCTGCCTCCATCACATGTCCAGGCAGTTCATTCCAGATTCTAACTTTTTTGCTGCATGAAAAGGTTTCCTGCCATGCCACCATTGCTGCTTTTCCCTGTTATCTTTAATCTGCAGCATGTAGTTTTTGTTCTTTACCCCAGTGGAAGCAGTTTTTCCCTATCTGCTGTATCCTAGCTCCTCATGATTCTGAATACTACTATAAATTTTCCAACCTTCTCTTCTCCAATGAAAGCAGTCCCAACTCCACTGCACTGTAAGTTCCTCATCCTGGACTCATTGTAATGAATCCTTCATGTACTCTAATCCTTTTTCATAATTCCTAAAATATGCTGCTCTGTTTTTTGGCATAGTACTAGTTGAAGCTGAGACAGTGTTTTATACAACTTTTAACAGAAATCCCTTCCTCTTGTACCCTATAAATATCAAAATAATACAGCGCAGTAACAGGCTCTTCGGCCCTCAAAGCCTGTGCCGACACATTTTACCCTTTCATATCAAAACTGTCTTCACTTAAAGGATCCGTATCCCTTTATTCCCTTCCTATTCATGTATTCGTCCAGGTGCTTCATGAATGCTGCTATTGTGTCGGCTTCCACCACCACCACCACCTCTGGCAGCACGTTCCAGGCACTCTCCACCTTTGTGTGAAGAACTTGCCTCGCACATCTCCTTTTTAAACTCTTGCCCAACCCCCACCCTGCACCTTGAACCTGTACCCCTTATTAATTGACCCCTCCACCCTGGATAAAAAAGCCTTATACGTTCCACTTTATCCGTGCCATTCGCAATCTTTTAAACTTCTATCAGGTCACCCCTCAACTTCCTGCATTCCAGTGAAAGCAAACCCAATCTGTCAACCTTCCTTCATAGCTAAAAGCCCCCGTGCCAGACAACCTCCTGGTAAACCTTTTCTGTACCCTCTCCAAAGCATGTACATCCTTCCAGTCGTGTGGTGACCAGAACTGTACACCATATTCCAAGTGTGGCGTAATTAAAGTTCTATAAAGCTGCAGCATAACTTATCTATCCTTATATTTAGTGTCTGTTCCAATAAAGGCAAGCATGCCATAGGCCTTTTCTATGACCATTATCTACCTGCGCTGCCACCTTCCATGATTTGTGGACCTCGCACCCAGATCCCTCTGCATTTCAATACCCCTAAGGGTTCTGCCATTCACTGTATAATTTCAATCTGTTCTTGACCTTCCAAAATGCATCACTTTACATATGTCCCGATTAAACTCCATCTGCCATTTTTCTGCCCGTGCCTCTAACTGATCTATATCCTGCTGTATCCTCTGACAGTCCTCCTCGCTATCTGCAACATCACCAATCTTTATATCGTCTGCAAACTTACTAATTAGACCAGCCACATTTTCCTCCAAATCATTTATGTAGACCACAAACAAGAGGTCCCAGCACTGATCCCTGTGGAACACCATTAGTCATAACCCTCCATTCCGAAAAGCATCCTTCCACCACTATGCTCTGTCTGCTATAACTAAGCCAGTTCTGTACCTATCTTGCCAGCTCACCCCAATACATGTGACTTTACCTTTTTGTACCAGTCTGCCATGAGTGACCTTGTCAAAGGCTTTACTGAAGTCCATATAGAAAAAATCAACAGCTTTTCCCTCGTCACTCATTTTCGTCACCTCCTGAAAAACAAACGCAATCAAGTTAGTGAGGTAAGACTTTCCCCTGCTCAAAACCATGTTGTCTATCACTAATAAGTCCATTCGCTTCTAAATGTATATAGATCTTTCCCCTGAGAATCTTTTCCAGTAATTTCGCTACCACCGACTTGAGGCTCACAGGCCTGTAATTTCCTGGATTATTCCTGCTACCTGTCTTTAAAAAATGGGACAACACTGGCTATTCCCCAATCCTCTGGGATCTCACCATTTGGCTGTAGAAGACACACAGATGTCTGTCAATGCTCCAGCAACTTGTGCTCTTGCATCCCTCACTTTTTTTCTGGGATACATCCCATCAGGGATGCAAATGCTTTATTAACAATGATCTCAACCTGTTCTACAACCTTCGTTGAACACAAA